AGGTGGAACTGCTTTATTCAGTATAGCCACTACATCACCAAGCCTCTAGGACCAAAGATTTTGCAACCAGCTCCATATGTTCAAATAGATGCTCTAACCGAGACCTGCAGATATGAATGTCAAGACACCGGCCCCTAAATAGAGACCCGACTTGATTGTTTCTGGACCATCAGAAAGTCGTACAGGAGCAGGATCTAAATTTAGACCAGACCTCTTCAGGTCCAGGATCCTGGGATCGCTCTGGTGGTGGAATACGGTTTTTCATGGTCAATTTAGCTGATTCATGGCAGGTGAACTGTCCCTGATAGTGCTGTCAGAAAGCCCAAGCAAATTTTGACCATGGTTCCTAAAAGCGGTTTGTGGGTTCTTCCTAAAAAAATGTAGCGTATTCTCTGGTTGATTAAATTACAACAAATACTGAGTTTTGATTTTAAGGAAACCAATTTAAATGACTTGCAATCTAATTTGTCCATTTTTACAGTGCATTAATGCATTGCTTGTCAGTGATTTCAGACTACCTAACAGGACGACATGGATGTGACAGAAAAGTTTGGTGGCGTTTTTTCCTGATCTAAAGGAAGCTTATATGAGAAAACTCTTTAAATTGTTGTTCATGTTAAAACAACAGCAGCAAATTGTTTCTCCTTAAGGAGGAAATCAATTCCTTGAAAACCAGATACTGGAACCAATACAATTAAAACCACTTGTATGACTCTTTCACAGTGCATTTCCACGACAGTCTGACCTTGCATGCTAAGTCCTGCATTGCACTAAGCTGATTAGAGTAATGAGCTTTCAGCAAACCCTTAAAAGCCCAAAGATCTATAACTGTTGTTTAAGTTAAATAGTCTGTATGAAAAACTAAAATAAGAAATAAAAAAATAATAATAATAATTTTAGCAAAATATCAGAAAAACTAATCTCTGAAAAATATTCACAGGAAACAATCTGCTCAAAATTCATCTCAACTCACTTCTTTACACAAACTTCCTGCTGTTATTGTGTTCACTGTTTAGGTTCATTGTACAGTTTTTCAGCTGTTCTCTACTCTTATTGTTATGCATTGAATATAAAATATCCATAAAATTAGTCACTTGGTCAGGGGTCGTCAGTGATAGAAAAGGGATCCCTTAAAGAAAAAGGGTCATACATCATGTGCACACAAATGGAAAATTACATTACTTGATTTCATTTTAATATTAGCAGCCATAGACTTCCGAACAAAATTTCACTTTTTTTTGTCGTATTAATAGTTTTGCACACAGGAAAAGACTAATTTGAGTAATTTGAACGCTGCTGCCTGGTGCTACAACCCTGGGCATCGAGTGGAAGGAAGTCCCACCAGTAAACTTAAATGAATCTTTCTATTATCCACTTTGTTTCGGAGAAAACAGATGGTATAATTTTTAGGGGAAGTTTGTTGAGGCAGTGGTGCCCTAGCAGAGGACTGATTATATGAGGTTGTCTCATGACTAGGAGGAAGTGATGCTTCTTCACTGCTGCTTAGTGTTAGGACCCAAAGAGCCGCAGGGCGATCCTCCTGCTGCCCTTTGAAATATAAATGTCCAGTTGTCTTTGGGTCACATGTTCCTGCTGGTGGATCTTGAGGTGTTGCGTGAGGGGTTTCTCCATCCTGAGCTTGTGTGTTCATATAGCTTGTTTGTGTTAACAGGTTGGCAGAAGGCGTCAGGATGCTGTGGCTGCTGATGATCTGTCTACTTCCTGCAGTTGGCTGCAACAGAATCGTCGCCCAGGACGTTTATAAAGAAAGACACAGCCACGGTGAGTTTGTGGACATGAATGTTGCTTTATTTTTCAGACAGTCCGGGCAAATTTGTTTTTTTTCTGTGCCAGAAATTTAACATAGCACTGTACAAAATCATAGCCTTTGGTCTTTTTAGGAGACTTGTTAATTAGTATTATTATATTATTATTCAGTCTTAGAAGTTTGTTCTGTGCTTCTCTCGAGGCAAACATCTTAGTTGATTAAATTTGACTTCCAAGCAGAGTGTCTTTGGGGTCAATAACTTTGCAAATTTGGCTCCCAGACGTCGTTGCATGTGTAAATTAGGTTCTTATGATGCCTTGAATCAAAACCAAATCACCAGCTCCAGATGTTGCTCCCGAACCGGCACTGATCCTCCATCATGCCCGGCTGAAGCTTGACTAAGTTCCCTGTGGTCTCTCTCACTTTCAGGAGCTCATAATTGAGTTCTCCCAGCTGAAAGATCGTCAGAAACACGTCCAGATTTCTTTCCCCCACTTTTTCAGTACTGTCTTTGTGACAATCATAGCTTCCACTTCTCTCACAGACGCCAGCAAACTCTCTGTGTCTTCTGTCCATCTATCATTTTATTTAGTCTCACCAGAATGTATCTTATTCATTTTAGATGAAAAAGACATTCACAAGGCAGCCAGTATGTTTTAGATTAAAAGAATGGAAGACAGGAAGCCGTCAAAGGGGTCGCAGGATGCACAAAAACAAGTAGACCAAAATACTTTCTAGTTATTGTATGAAGTACTTAGTTTAATTATTAGTTTTTACATTTATCTGATTGCTTGACTTACTTTTGCATTGTGCAAATATCTCAAAAATCTTTGTGTCTAATATTAAGTGCTAAACATTTTATATTCAAAGTTGAGTGTGTCATTTAGCATCCACAAATGGTTTGTCCGTTCTGGGCCACCATAGAAACATGGCGGACTCAGGTGATCATACACTACTGTAAACATAGCTATTTCTCTCTTTCAGAGAGTTTTATGAGCATTTTAAAAATAAATGTGTTGCAGCTGGGATCTGTCAGACAGGACTGGATGCAGAGAGACAGCAGCCAGCTGTGTCGGCTGCTTTATTTCCGGCAGCTTATCAATACCTCCCCGCTGAGCTCACAACACTGCTGCTTTCATTTCAGAGCATCACTGTTGACTTTTATCCACAACCAGTTTAGACCTGCACAAACATGCTCTTTCTGGATTTTTGCGCCAATTTTTGAAAGAAGTGTGTTGACAGAAACCAAATTAAACAGTGAAAATAAATTTGAGTATTGAGAGTGACTTTTATTTGATTTGTCCGCGATCTCAGCACCCATTCCAATAACTGCTTGAGGTTCAAAGTGGAAAATCATTTATTATTTCATAAAAAGCGAAGATTAGAGAAAAGTCAGATTAATCTTTTTCCGTCACTGGTTATTGCTATTGTAAATGTGAAACACATCACCAGTGACCTTTTAAAAAAACCAAAAGGGACATTTTCACATAGATTCACTGCCAACACACTGTAGCAAAATAGACATTTTTATCAATCTGTCACATTTACTGTTTAATCTAGATCTTACTGAGATTTGTACGGTTTTGTTCCACATGAAAGGTTATTTATGCTTTTGACAGGGACAATTCGGACAGATGTCACAATGAATGAGCTCGAGTGTTTGGTGCTCTGTGTTTGTGTCATCTGCATCCAATCAGTCAACCCAACACGTTGCAGATCGTATGCAGGTGCCTTCCCGTTTGTTTTTTGACATCAAGATATTGTTGCCTAAACGCTCATCCTCCCAAGTCTGCAAGCTACAAAACTACAACTGTCTGAACCATGCAGCAGGATTTCCCAAATCACAAATGTAACAAAAACAGTCTTCTGACAAACAGCAGCAGCATCACATGACTTTATATTTATCTTTGATTTGTTTTGGTCTCGTTTCTCAGTCGTTTAGTAGTCGTTTTGTCTCTTTGTAGTCATTTTATATCTCATTGTGTTCGTTTTGTGTCACTTTGTTGACATCATGTGTCTGGGTGTAGTTGTTTGCATCTCTCTTTGCATTCCTTTGTGGTTGTTTTGCATCCCCATCTCAGGCCTTTCTTTCTTTCTTTCTTTCTTTCTTTCTTTCTTTCTTAGAAGTGGACGTTGTTGATTAGAAAGTTGAGCTCCTTACACCATGCACAAAAGGCCTTTGTCTCCCCGCTGCCCTCAGATTGCAGGTTCATGCATTCCCTGATGGATTACTCGCCTCTCACTGCTATGATCTGTGAAGGGCACATAATGTCTCGCTGCTTCACTGCACTCTTAAGGTTTTTTTTCCTTTTACATGATACCGAGGATATAAAGTCTTTTTGTGAGTCAGTTTTCCTAATTTTACACATCTTAAAATGTCCAACTTCACAGCAGAAATACACATGTTTACAGCCTGGTACAAAAAACCCTTTTGGTCTTGTGGTGGCAATTTGTTTAATAAAGCATACAAAGTATGATCTTGTTTTTCTGTAAGGTTTTATTCAAGTCATCCATGAATGGTCTCAACGCAACCGTCACACACTCTCATATGTGAAAGTCTGAAAGAGCCCCAATTGTAAGAAGCAGTATGGTTTGATCCCTGTTGGAGTGTCACTCTAACGCAGTTACATGTTCCTGAGTTCTGTGGCAGTAAACAGACAGTGTGGTGAGATGATCATGTCCTTGGC